AATATCGTCATAACCCGTGGCTAGAGTATGACCCGGCCAAGGGCAAAGGGTATGACTGGTGTGCAGGCTGTATGTCTGGTAGTTTTTTCACCGGCACTACAAACTATCGTTTGGAAACTGTTAAAGTGTATGATGCTTCCGAGGGGCACAGAAAGATCATAGCAAAAAGAAATGCAAGGACCATGCCTGTTCACGAAAACAGTGGGGGCAAAAACACTAACTTAAGTAATGAACAAGGCCACAATAGCAAAACTGAATATCCTAATTAGAAATGCACATGCTATGGAAAAAACGGCAGGCCCTACCGATTACGGCAAGCCGTGCCAGCTTGACAAGGCCAAGGGGTTAGATGTCGGCAGCACTTACCTCACCGACAAGGCCTGCCAGAGGTTCATTATGGCGATAGCCGATACAAGGCGCCGGGAACAGTTTGGAGCTATAAATGAGGCCAAATTCCTTGCTGTGATAAGTGACGGATCCACAGATTCCTCATCAAAGGAGGCCGAAATTTTATTTTCGAATTAAAATTTAATTTAATTTTAATTTTAATCTTATGATCCATATCAAAGTTACGTGTATTTTATACAATTGAATGTCTTTTACAAAACCTTTCTGGGGGACACCCCTTGTACCCTGGGGGAGACCCCCTGTACCCCCTAGCAGAAGGGGGCTCCACCCTGCTACCCCACCTACCTCCTGGCAAATCACAATACTCGGCGCTCTGCGCCTAGTAAGAGTCCTTCGGCAGGACTAGTAGAATCTTGGAAGGACTAGTACATTTGTTCTTTTACTAGTCCTGTGGACTAATGAACTAAAATAGTTAGTATCTAACCCTGACATTACGTTACATTACATTAGCTTGCGGATGTTGCAATGTTTAATCAGTAGTGCCATTATATGAGAGTTCTAATGCCTTATTATAGATATATTGTCTTCACTCAGTTCACTGCCGTATGCATATGTATATTGTCCCCGGTGCCTGTTAATCTGTTTAATCAATGATTATTCACTACAGGTTTACAAGACTACTCTAAATGAGTTCAAGACGAGAGATAAATACATTAAAGATGATTATCGCTTTAAGGACAGATTTAAAAAACTGAATCCAAGAAAGGTGATTCGAATGTGGGCTGAGAAGGAGATGCACAACCTAATGAGAATGAGAAAGGTAAGATGTGTGTAGCTGATACATGTAGTTGTACATAAGCATGATTGCTCTACAATTAACTTGTTACTCAATTTTATTCCATTAGTGTGTAGTGTTGTATTTTACCCTGATAGGAAGCATAATGGGGCTTCATGTGAATTAATGAATTAATCAATGTGAAGCATGATGGGGCTTGTTGCAGGTTGGGATTTCCTGTCCAGAAGTTGTTTTCTTGAAGAAACACATTCTCGTAATGTCGTTTATCGGAACCGATCAAAAGCCAGCTCCGAAATTGAAAGAAGCCAAGCTGTCACACGACCAGCTCGAACAAGCATATGTAGAGTGTGTACAGGTACATGTATATTTCACTATGTTGCTCTCTCACACAAGCAGACAAGTATTCTTTACTCATAGACAGGCCCTCTCACTTTAACTTAACGGATGTCACTCTCAGTTTAAGCAACTTTGGATGAAGTGATTTTGTTATTATGGGAATACATTTATTTTTTGCCACACATCTGGTTTAGGTGAGAAATGTGTGATTGGCTGGGTTGTTGTGTTGTGTATATGCTTTCACAGTGTTGCATGACATGCCTTGTGGGCATCTACACTACTCAACTACACAGTCTGTTCTCATCACGTGTGAATACGTCAGTTATAGTGCGCTACTGCTATTGCAGGGAGGTCTCGGGTTGCAAACGTAACTGCTTCGAAGATATTCGGTTTCGTTCGTTCTCTCAGAGCTGACACATGACTTTATCGCAATCTTCTCAGATGATGAAGAAGTTATACGACGAGGCCGGCCTCGTGCACTCAGACCTCAGTGAGTACAACATCCTATGGCACCAGGGTCAACTCTGGTTCATCGACGTTAGCCAGTCCGTCGAGCCGCAGCATCCAAACGCGCTGGAGTTCTTGCTGAGAGACTGCACGAATGTCAGCGAGGTACGCAATCGTCACGCGAGCGAAAACGAAGCGGGCTCCCTTGTTTTTTTGCGTCGTTTTGCGCAACAAAAAACAAGTGAGCCTGCTTTGGATATTTTCTGTGTATGTAGCGCTGTATGCATTGCAATCATCCTCCCCCCCCCCCACTGTGCTGTTGCTGACTGCCGTTGTGTTAGGTTGGAAGTCTGCCTGCTCTGTGTTTATCGTTCATGCCTGTTATAGGTACCATGCTATGGATTTAATGGATAATAAGTTTTTTTTAATGGAAAATGTGTACATTCAACACTCGCACTCACCAGCAACTCGCCTTATCGCGCCTAGCGGACCAGACTATAAAATACGTGGCTTCAGAAATTCGGTATTTAGCATTCACACGAAAGAAATACGCGGCCCAAGAGATTCGGAATTTCTCAAGCACGGCAAATAATTAATAATCTGGGAAGCCGTGTATTTCAACAAATACCGAATGTATTTAGATTCCGTATTTCTTGGACTGCACATTTTGCCTCGTGTGAACGCTAAATACCGAATTTCTTGCTACGTGTGAACGCGGAAATTGTCTTCATTTAAATGCTATTGTCTTCACGGCATTGTCTTCATTAGCTCACCTTGACATCGTCAAGATGAGCTATTGCCATGGGTCGTCGTACGTCCGTCCTTCCGTCAACATTTGGCTACGGTCAACGATAATTCAGGAACCATTTGACCCACATGTTTGAAATTGGGCATAGTTGTTACTGCTATGCTCCCATAATATTAAACGTCCTATTTTGGAGCACGTCAGTCATGGGAATTGCCATTAGTCAGTTCAGGTTCAACGGATTTTGCTCATTTTTGGTATGTGAATGAATAAGGGCCAGGGGTTTTGATTTTTTTTTTTAATTATGCAAATTAGGTAGGTTTTGGCAATTATATACCATATTATGTTATAGACATGCAGATAACAGTCTGTGGTGTCACACTCGTCTCGTTCGTTTTACAAGATTTCATTGACAATATCTTTAATGCAAAATTGGTATTTCCTCTCCACACTGCCGATAAAACGTCTATATTAGAGTAAAGTTTTACAAAACATGCATAACCTATTTATTTCTAACGCCATCGCTAAGAAACATCAAAGCGGGTATAGCGCCATCTACCGTCACAAATTGTGGTTCATTTTGGTTTATAAATTATTATTGCGATATATACAGATGGCAACCGTGTGCTACCGCCTAGAAAAACTCATATGAAGTAAACACTTCCATGCAACCAATTAACCTTTGACAAAAGTTGTGTTATGGGGAAGGAAACACCATTGTCACGTGGTATATAGCAGCTACGTGGAATAAGCGTATCCTCTCAATCTTACACGTTACACATCGGGAGCTCCGCTTTTAGGCAGTGCCTAAATCTGAATATTATAAAAACGTTAAATGGCGATCATTTAGGTGTAACGCCATCACTCGCCCACATCTCAGACTTTCACATCTCAAACATTTATTTTCACATAAAAAATTACACATAATTATCAAGAGTATATAATGGGAGTTCTCCCATATATACTCTTCGTTTCTATAATGTACGTCAATGGTTGCTCAATTAAAACTGACTTCTTCTCACTCACTCCGTGCGTCCGTCCGTCCATCCGGCCGTCCGTCCGTGCGTCAACAGTTGGGCACAAATCTTAACCGCTTGACGTATGATATTCGGGACGTGGGGGGGTAATCCGAAAACAAGTTGGGATGTCGAAGCTGGGGGTTTGCTAGAATCCCACCACTCCACCACAGAGTCACCGCAGTAGATGTTAGATGAGCGCTGTCGCTCCGCGGCACTTGTTTGTGGTGAGCTACAGTGTCATTGACACTTTCATTTATGCTAGTGTCTTCATGCCATTGTCTTCATGCCATTGTCTTTTACAGTTCTTTACGAAGAGGGGCGCTGCGGACGTACTGGCGCCACAGCGGCTGTTTAACGAGATCAGCGGACTCGACCTCGCTGAGGGAGAGACGGGCGACTTTCTCCTGCAGCTGCAGCAGTTCCAGAAGCAGCGTTACCTTCATGAGAGAGCGCACGAGGCATCCGAGGACTATCCATTTGATTTCTTCTTCGAGAAGTCTTGCGCCGAGCTCAGCCAAGGAGTCACTAAGAAGGGCGAGGGAAGCGCGACCAAGCCTGACGGGAAGATAGATGTGGACGAGATTTAGCGATGGCGGACATGTTCGTTTGATTTATACTCAACATTGTTTTAACCGTAATTGTGAGCAAGAATTATTGGCTAATGACCCAGGGCTAAAAGAATGTGTACGAAGAGAAGCAGCATAGGGTCGAAGAGTGAGGCAGTGCTATGTAGGGTGTTGGTGGTGCTAGGATCAAGTTGGTTGCAGCGCATGGCATTTAGTCTAATGGCACGTTATGTCGCTCTGGGGGATCTCTCAGTCTCGTCTTGTTTACGTTAACCTGGCAAATTTTTGCACTGTCTATATCACAGTATAAAGAAAATTGTTAGTTTAATTTTGTAAAAAGTATTTAATGAATGCTTGTGATGAGGGAGCATGTAGTACCAACTTAATTTAGCACATCAAAGGTTTACTGCAAATCGAGAATTAAGGGTCACCCTTTCAAAGTTTGCACTGGTTTGGTAGCCACATTGATAGGTGTGTGGAGATATATTAGTTATATAAGTTTTAAATATATATTATCAAGAGCATATAAAGAAGGAGAGCGTACAATGGTGAAATGCTGAAACCATGTTGCAGTATTAGTCGAATTAATAAACTTTCCCCGTTTTATTTTGATGATTCTTTGCACTATTATTGATCAGCTGTCCTACCTTGTTAATTTAAAACAACCCGCATGTCGCTACGATGCCCCTACGCTGAGATAATGAGCGGTGAAAATCTGGTATTTTCGCCGAAAACCGACACGAGATCAGTGTTTACTGCGACTGTCTCTCGCTTTGAGATAACTTCGGGGAAACCTCGCGTGTTTCCGTCAATGATTGACAAATGGAATGAATGACATTGTTATTGATTGCCATAGTGATGACCCCCACCTGTGCCCACCTCACGCTGGATGTATAGTAATCTCTGTAGTAATGACGTGAGTCAGCGCTACCATGGCGCTACACAGCGGCGACCGGAAGCAGTACTCTGGCCACAAAGCGAGAGTCAGTCGCAGTAAACACTGATCTCGAGTCGGTTTTCGGCGAAAATACCGGATTTCCACCGCTCATTATCTCAGCGTAGGAGCATCGTAGGTACAAGCGGTTTGTTTTATATTACTAAGGTAAGACAGCTGATCAATAATACTGGGCAAAATTTCTTAATTCGACTAATAATGCAACATGGTTTCACCATTTCACCGTTTTACGCTCTCCTTCTTTATACGCTCTTGGTATTATGAATTATCTGTTGGATAGTCATGAAAAAAAGTGGTAAAGCTATCAATTGGCTAAATTAATTATTGCTAATCGAGAATTTTATTTCATAGTGCATAGCACACGTTACACAATATACAAATGTAGGAAAAGTTTCGAAACGATGCAAAAAGTTAGCAGTCGTTTTACTTTAGTAATACATACTGATTACAGATTTTCACATTGCATAAGACTGACTTCTATAACGTTTGTTACAGCGTATAGGAATTTTATGCATAAAATTCTGATATAAATGTTACCTTACATACTTGCATTGATGCTGCACTTATATGTTGTGCTCTGATGCTTAAATATTTGTTGTGGCTAGCAAGCTTGTGTATTAAAGTCAATTGGTATCATGTTATATGAGATTTGAAATTATTTCATTATTTAGCCGACTAGTGTCATATAGATTTCTTAAAAGGAAGATTATACTACGGTAATTTTGAGAAATTAAGTTGCACATCTCCACAACAGAATGAGGAAAGAATGGCTGACACCGGAGAAAATCGGATGCATAGTCGGTCGCATGTTGCTATGCAGGATACCAAATACGAAAAACACTGTCTCAATATCAACACAAACCATCTTTATCACATGAGAGAACAGGCCTAAGTGTGTGTGTGTGTACAGCAAGGGGGGGGGGGGTACGGCTTAAGATTAGTGAATGGTGTTACTTCTGTTATCTGCACCACATTTCTAACGTTTGCTATTACACATACCTCAAGTAACAAATACATCTAATAGAGACTTTCTTTGCGCCACCACTCTGCGTTACCTACTCTCTTTGCATAAAGAACAGCGATCAGTATACGCAAAAAGTAATAGCAATCCAAAATATAAAAGGCAGCCAAAACCAGAAAGTAGCCTCGTAAATATACTATTAATAGTCTTCAAAGTATATTATGATATCGAAGAAGGAAAGAGACAAGTTGATCAAATAGACAGATCAACGCTACAGATAACATTAGAAAAAACCTCAAATTTGCAATTTACTAAAGCAGAAGGGAGAGAATTCCAACGCGGGATGACAGACACAAAGAAGCTAAACTGGGATTCTCAGAAGACGGCACATGTCGAAACCAATGATAACGCTCAGATGATCGAGTGCAATGAACACGCTTCATCAAGCAAGATGGAATGCTCATCCCGGGGGGGGGGATGGCACTCCCTACAAAATATGGTAGGTGTGTGCCACTTGAAAGATGGAAACTAGGGTTTGCTGGATTTCAAGCATGATGCTCCAGAGCTGGACATGTTTGCAAGAAGTGGTATCCGGAACTGGACATGTTGGCAAGAGGGGGTCTCCGGAACTGGCCATGTTTGCAAGAGAACTCTACAACTCCAAAACTAGGATTTGCTTAAAAAAGAAGTCTCCAAAATTAACTGCTCCTATACAAATACACAGTGCTAGCGCAGCCTACACACGTCAGTGTATGTGGGACTGTCGTGACTGTGCACCGTGAGCGATCGACAATCTCAAGCGCTCACCAGCCATGGTACGGTATATATAATTATAGTGTAATATGTACTGTGAGTGCGGCGCTGTCGCGGTATGTGTCCCGTGCACGTATGTTTCACTGCTTTTTGTTGTTTTTTGTCTTTTTTGTTGAAAAAAGTAATAAAATAAGAAAAGGCAGTAACATGTACACACTCTGCGACCATGGCAGCACTACGGCATACCAGGCCTTGGGGTATTGGAACGGGACCGGAATCCCCGAAATACAGAAAATTTGCCAAGGGACCAATTAAATCATCAATGAGAATTCATGCCATCATTCATGGGTCTCCGGAACAGAAAAAAGTAGGACCTATGCTCCGGGACGGGAAATATGTGAAAAAGGGGGTCCCGGTATGGGAAATTTGGAGGTGAAAATGGAGGTTATAACACATGCGGCTAAACAGAGGAATTGCTGCGACCTGTAATGGAAAGATAAAAATAGAATTCGTGCCGTTTCTCAGGACTGTCAGTATTAGATATCTCACTGACTGTACTAGCTTACATTATAGTTTATTTTCAAAAGATTACAACGTTTGCACTCTTTATAGAGGATTTTCCGAATATTTGCAAACTTTCGCGAAAAGTTTCTTGTTCAAGTAGCGTTCGTGTTGTATTCGGAGCAATTCCTCCATATACAGTTTAGCCGCTGAATGGCAACATCACTCCAACCACTGATTAACTCAAAAACATCAGCTGATGTTACGTTTTGACACAGGAAGCCCGGCATATGGGAAGGGGGAGGGAAGAAGAGAAAAAGAAGAGAGATGGGCACTAGGTTTTGCTATCAATCGAGTTGTATATGTGTGTCATATCTTGTCAGACTTGAGAAACGTCACGAATTCTATATTTATCTCCCAATCACAGGTCGGAGCAATTCCTCTGTTTATCCGCATGTGTAACCGCGGTTCCCCCCTCCCGGGTGCTCATCAAGCAAGAGGGAATGCAAACAACCTGAAAGCACGTTAGCAACCTTCATGTATCTTGTATAGACCTTGTATCTTAGGTCCCTCTCGTCTTTCACAAGGCACTCTAAAGGCCTATTTACACGATGCGTCCTAGACATACGTCTAGGACGTACGTCCACACTGCACCGTGTATGACAATGCAAATGTATGACCCTTGCGATATCGGATGCACAGGACGGATGTTCTAATTTCTTCCAACATTGCGTTTGCATTGTCATACACGGTGTACGTTCTAGACGTACGTACGTCTAGGACGTACGTATAGGACGCATCGTGTAAATAGGCCTTAATGCAGGTGCGGGGATTATCTAAAGAAACAGGAAATTATGTCTACCTCCAGTTCTTTAGATATTAATACTTCGAATTGACAATATCTTTTGTACGTGCTTAGCTCTAGTACTATATAGCCCGCGTACAGTTGCCGCAGGGCTATAGAACATTCTAATACGAATGCTAGGGACCAGCCCGCTGACAGCCCATAGAAGTTCATAAATCGAATGTTCGTTCACAAGAAATACTGCAAGCAGACCATTTCAACGATAGTTAGAGGTTAAATTTTAGTTGGAGATATAACGTAATTAAGACATAGTCACTTCGGATAAGAGGCATTAATTGCCTACCACAGACGTTTTAACTTTTATAGCTGCGAGTAACCGTAAATAAGTTGGTCCCGAGCACAGGCACTTGAAGCGTTTCAATAAAATATAATGCTAACAAAATACGAAATCCATAAACTACCAAATTCTTAATGTTTCTATACTCTCTTTCACCTATTATTGCCGACAGTTTCCTGTAAATTCTGTCCAAATCCTACGTCCAACATACGCTGCCGGCGGCCATTGCTCTCGCGGCTGCACTGTTGCACGCTCACACTTATATATATAGGCAAGAGTAGATAATAACACAAGAGTGAGACACCCGATTCCTGCATTTTTAACCGATTTTTTTCATCAAAATTTGCCACCAATAAAGAAGCAAGTGTATACGTTCCTCAGCTAATTATGACCACTAATCACTCACCTTTGTGGTACTGATATTTGTTTACATTTATTTGATAGCGTATTGCTGTAAATCGTAATCTTGCACGAGCTGAATTCGCACAATTTACAGCTATTGTGTGAGGTGTGAGGTAGACAAAATTTGAAGCTATAGTGGTGCCAATATTTAGCAACGAACTGTTTCCAAATCATTCGTGCCCCGATAGGGTTGAGAGACAATCTAAATTTTAAATTTTGATCTCGTGAGGAACCGCGAGACACGCTCAGTTATTGTGATTGCAACACAAGAAATTGACATATTATCTTACATAAGTAATAATACAATAATAACAAAATTCTCTGTAGTAGTTTGCAGTAAGTATCACATTACGCACGCTGCAGGTAATCAAGTACATTAAACCCCTATCGGGGCACGAATGATTTGGAAACAGTCCCGTTGCTAAATATTTGGCCGCCACTATAGCCTTCAATCTTTGTCTTAACACCTCACACAATAGCGGTGAACTGTGCGAATTCAGCTTGTGCAAGATTATGTTTACAGCAATACGCTAGCAAATATCACTGTTTAGCACGAATATCAGAAATACCACAAAGGTGAGTGATTAGTGGTCATAATAAGCTGAGGAACGTATACACTTGCTTCTTTATTGGTGGCAAATTTTGATGAGAAAAATCGGTTAAAAATGCGGGATCGCTTCTTTATTGGTGGCAAATTTTGATGAGAAAAATCGGTTAAAAATGCGGGAATCAGGTGTGTTACTCTTGTGTTATTATCTACTCTTGATATAGCAGGTAGGAAAGCGGGATCGCAAAATTCGCTCGACGCTCGCTTGATTTCACACTTTCACAGCACGAATAC